CGGAGATGAAAATGTGTAGATGGTCATGCGGATGGACGAGGAGGGACCAGAAACGGAATGAGGAGGTGAGTTCGAGGCGAAATCTCATGGACGCGTTCGATTTCGATGATGATGGATTCAAATATGAGGTTTTCTACCTTGATCGTCGTGTGTGTAGTAGACGGTGCAGGTGTTGGAGTTGCAGGTGTGAACGGTCGTGTTTTCTCTGCATTTCGGTAGGAGTATCGGTAGATACACGTCCGAACACGCGTAACACTGGATTCCCCCTGAGCCACCGAGGAAGAAGCTCATTTTAAAGCGAGACTTCAAAGGTCAGGCTTCAAAAGTCAGACTTCAAAGGTCAGGCTTCAAAGGTTTGACTTCAAAGGTCAGGCTTCAAAGATCAGACTTGGAAGAAACGGCAGACACTCACGAGTGGAAGGGAGAGCGGAGAGGAGGACGGCAGTCACCAACGCGAGGTTCATCGCATCCGTCGGAGGTTCATCGCATCCATTGCGGAGGAAACGTGACGGCCTCCCCGCACAGGTGGCCCGATAACGACGCTTATCTCCATTCGTTCGTGCAGATAACGCGACGGGCACTGACTCAGCTGTCATTCCTGCGGGGGCCGAATGGTCTCAGCCCACCAACGGGGTGGAAGGGGGGGACCGGGGGCTGGGATGAAGGGGGGGGGGGGGACGGGGGGCTGGGATGAAGGGAGGAGAGGCTTGGAGAGACTATTGTCTTTCTCTGCCCCTGCTCCAAATGCTTCTATCTTCGATCTCCACATTTTTACATGTGGATAGGACTCTTTGTTTTTTCAATCGGAAGGTGTTTCTGCACGCTTTGCTGAAGATGTCCGGGATTTCTGGATGTCACATTTCCAGACAAGCGGTTAGGAAGGAGGGGATGTGTGGGAATTTATGGGAATTTGTGGGAATTTGTGGGAATTTGTTCCTCGAGAAGCAAAGTGTACCCCACCGCCCGAAATTCGTACGAGTTCGAGAAAGAAGGAGCCAAAAACACCAAAACGATGCGCATCTTCACGCGATTTTTTTTTCTCGTACTTTTGGAGTACTTGAAGTACTTTTAGAGGTGAAACTTTTCGTTTGGCTTTCCAGAATGATCCTGTTTGGTTCTTCGAGAAGTTGTTTTAATTATTTCAACGTCTTGATGGGATTTACGAGGAAATATTTATCACTAATTTCTGCATTATTACTTTTTTCCCCAAAAAAATATCTTCGTACTCAAAAGAAATAAAATTGGAAAAGCAATTTTTCGCGCAACGCAGTTCGTTGGCGCCAAAATTAATTGCAATCAGGAAATGAACTTCAAGGACAAACGGGACAAAGTCTTCTTTATTTGATAATGCTGCATAAAATCACGCATACAAAATAGACAGTGAAAAATTCCAGATCGATTTTTGAATTGAATTGAATTGAATTGAATTGTTGAAACAATTCTTCCTCGACATTCGGCGGATGGAAAAAAAAAGTCCTGAAAAGGAGAAACTGGCGAAAGAGCGATTTCGAAAATTTTTCGGAAAAAAAAATTTTCCTCCGATATTTTCGGTCTTGCGACGATTTTTAAAATTTAAATTTGCGTTCGTGCACTTGTGACATGTTCGGACCGTTTCGGCAGGTTTTTCTGCGAGAACTTGAAGGACAGCGTGAACAGCTACACGTTGGAGGTGTCGTTCTACGGCTATCAGCTGGAGGGATCGTCGACCATCATCCCGTACAGCGAAGAAGGCTGTATCCTTTCACTCGCCCGGTCGAAATCGATCGGTTAAAAATCGATCGGCAAAAAAATCGATCGGCAAAAAAATCGATCGGCAAAAAAATTGATCGGCAGAAATCGATCCTTAGCTGAGGGCGTGCAGATATGCGGCTGGGACGGAACGTGGTCCGGGCCTTCCTCGAATACTACAAGTTCATGGGGATCATCGGGGGTGGAGGCGGGAGCGGAGGAGGGAGTGGTGGCGGGGGTGGCGGGGGTGGAGGAGGCGGGGGTGGAGGCGGGGACAAGGTCAAGACCGCGGGGGGTCACGAGTCCACGGGGATCAAGGTCACGAGGCCCTTGAAGAAACAGGACACCATCAGCGCCGCTGCTCAACGGGTCTCCGCCTCGCACGCTCACAATAGGTAACGATGATAATCACAATAGGTAACGATAATAATCACAATAATCGCTTTGACTTGTGAGGCAGTTGTTCTCGACCCTTTCGATCTGATTGCCTAAACGACTGAAAAGTGATCCGAGGCTCACTACGGACGCTTTATCATTTTTGTTCGTCTGTTAATTGTTATTCTTAAAATTACGAATATTTGTTGCGGTCCACCCGCGGCCCTTCCACGGCCCATCATCGGGCCGCGGCCCACCGGTCGAGAACCACTGTTCTAAGAAATCGGATCCTCTCCCATCGGAGTGTCGAGATGCGATCTCAGCAGGCGTTTCGTCTAGGAACATGCGCGGGAACGCGAAGAATCGCGGGGCGTCGACGAAGTGGGGTCAGGGGGAGTCCTGGAGGTCCCCCGGGCCCCGGAAGCGACACGAGCCTCCCCCGTGCCCCGTCCCCCGCGCCCCGACCCCCGTCTCCGCCTCGGACACGGACGCGGACGCGGAAGACAGCGACCCCGACGGCGACGACTCCTGCGAACCGGAGGACGACGCCGACCCGGGCCCGCCGTCTCCCCAAGTGCGTGCACGGAGTCGCCGTCGCGGTCCGACCGCTTTTCGCATCTTTCCTTTCGCAATCGGTTTGCGAGCAGAAACTCTTCTCTGAGCGTCTGAGTTGTATCCTATCGACTCGGCTGGCAATCGGGGAGTGGGAAAAATTTCAGTACCATTTTAAATTGGAATTCATCAGTAAATTAGAAATTATCGATATATTTGAATGTTTCGTACCGTCCATAGAATACTGCAGTTTCGTGTAAAGACTCGGGCTTAACTCCCTCTCCCTTTTTTTTCGTCTCTTCGGAAGAGCTCGGCCGCGACGAAGAAGGCGCCGACGACGACGCCGACCGCGATCGAGGTGAACCGAGGCCAATCCGCGTGCTCCCTGCAGACCCTGGCCTTCAAGGGCGAGGCCGAGCAATGGCGCCGATACTACAGCGAGCCCTGCGCGACGCCGCAGGCGTTCAAGGACGCCTCGATCCCCCGCGGCCTGATCCGGCACCAGTGCCACGTCGGGATCTCGCCGGAGGCGTACGCCCTCGCGCAGGCGCAGGCGCAGCTCCGGGATCCCCGGACCCTCAAGATCGTGGACGTCAACAAGATGACTCGGGGAGGGCTGGAGGCTTGCAAGACCTTCAAGTGACGCGATGGAAATCTGTTGCAAGTAAAAATACATTCAGATTCTTTCCTTCTCCCTCCTGCATTTTCAATCGCCTCGCAGTCACGCGGTGAAAGGGAAATCGGGCGCTCGTGCCCCCCCCGTGCCCGCCCCCGTGCCCCCCATAAGGGGGAACTCGAGACTGCCGCCGGCTTGCGCCCGTCCCCGTCTCATGTCGCAAGTGAATCTCTCGTGAATCTCTTGTGAATCTCTTGCGAGTCTCTTTCTCGTCTCGTGACGCGGACGAGATCGGTCTCGTCCCCTTTCTCTCTCCTCTCGGCTCAGTTCTCTCTCGATTTTAAACGTGGAGCGAACGCGTGAGGTCTGTGGATAGGACTCGGTGTGTGCTTTCCTATTTTATTCCGATTGTTATTGTTATTGTATTGCCATTGTTTTCGGTTGGAAGTTTGGGTCGAGGCGTCCGGTAGAATTTCAGTTTTTTTTTTTTTAAATACCGATTCGAGGCTGAGCGTTCGTTCCGGGCTTAATCTTCTCGAGATAAGCGTTTCACGCTGATCCACCGTCGAGTCGCGTAAAGGGTGGCCAAATAAAAAAAATTCCCTCAGTTTTTCGGCGCATCGGTGCCGATAGACCTGAGCTCGGCTTCGGTCGATTTGCCGATTTAGCGATTGCCAAAAAAAAGGGAATCGGAGTCTGGAAGAGTCGCCGGTCGCAAATCCGGAATCCCCGGATTCTCGTTCCGGGATAATCCTGATTTGCTCGGCAGAAACGAGAAAAAGTTCACTAAATAATCGAGAATATCGATTTTTACGTTTGATGGGAAAAAAAAAATTGAAACACTCTGTGATACGCTGACTCGGCGAGAAAACCCTTGCTTTCCCTTTTCGAGAGACAGCGTCCGTTTAAGTCCGTTTTTGGCAGCCATGTCGTTCCCTTTTTTTTTTCGCTTCGAGAAGGGTTCTTCACCTTTTCCACCGACGATTTCGGCGGTTTTCGGCGGTTTCCGAAGGGCAGTTCCCTCTCCGGGTCGGGTCAAAAGTTCATTTAAACGGCGAATGGGCCCCAACTTTAAGGCCACTGTCCCTCACGCGGTGGATTTATTTGGAAAAAGGTTTCTGCGGGAAATGATGAAACTGGGATCTTAAGGAAAATGGAGCCAGAAGGTCCGAAAGGGCTCCACTCGATCCTTGTCCTTGTCTCTCCTATTCCATCGCTCTTTGTTTGTGCCACAAATGCCACCATGACGGTGAATTTGTATCAGTGGACAACAGTTTCTCGCCTTCCAGTAATGGCCAACTGTCGGCACGTACTGCCATTACTGGAAAGTGATGGAAGGGGTGGAAGGTTCAAATCCCCCTCCCACCTTCCCACCTTCCCCTCTCCCCTCCCCCATATTCTCATTGAACTCCTCCGCTGATTCCTCCTAATTGGATTCCTAGACGTATCTTTGGTCGGAATAGGAAATCCACTCGGCCTCGAAACGGAAACTGGAAGAACCCTTTTTCGCGCTAGGAGTAAAAGCCTCGGGTAAAACCATCCAAGTTCGGACACCATAAAATAACTCGAAGGCGCCCGACCATCCACGGTCTCCCCTACTTTCAGCCCCACAAAATTAAATTCCTTCCTCAGGTCTCACGAAAGCAATCGAATCATCATCGAATCGAAGCAGCAAGCGAGCGACGATGGGGTCTCTCTTCCGAAGCGAGGAGATGCTCCTCTGCCAGTTCTTCCTGCAGAGCGAAGCGGCTTACAACTGCGTCTCCGAGCTCGGGGAATTGGGATCCGTCCAGTTCCGAGATGTAAGCCTTTTCGTCTCCCTTTTCCCCGATTCCGATCAGAAATGACGCATTTTGGAACGCGCCGCTCTTTGATGCTCTCGGATTTCCTTGCAATTACTTCATTTGTTTCTTTATCATCAAATTTTCGTCGTTTATTTTCAGCCGCTTAACTGCAAGAACGTTTTCGCAAACACGACCGGAATTATATTTTTTTTGCGCTTGTGCTGCGACAGCGACCCGAGGACCTGCGGCACCGACTCGAGGACCTGCGGTACTGACTCGGGGACCTGCGGTACCGACTCGAGGACCTGTGGCACCGACTAGGAGCGAAAATTCTTTTCGGGGCGTTTTCCCCTCTGAACTTCGAAATCCGCCGAAGAAAATCGCCCTGGCAACATCTGGCAATTGGCACGAGCGTCTTTCGCGTCCCGAATTTTCGCACGGGGAAACGACGGCTTCTTCCATAGAAGCGGTCTCGTTTCCTCGTATGCTAACTTGAGCTCGCCGTTCTCCTTTCCCATCGGACGAACCGGTTCCTCGCAGCTCATGAATGAATCCGTCAGCGCCGAGTTTCTTCCATCCAAGCCCGGAAATCCTTGCACAACTTTGTCCTTCCTCGAAACGAGGTTTCTTCACCGCTTTATGTTCCTCAAAGAGTACCGTTTCGAAGGACCAAACGAGGAGCGATCGCCCGAAATCGGAAGGAATTCGGGTCTCTTCGCAACCGCTGGCAAACGAGGCTACGTTGGACCAACGTCGTAACAACGTTCCAAACGTTTATCCAATGTCGATTCAACGTTGTGCATTTAAAATTGTTTGCTGGGAGGGTATGAGCGTCTTGGGCTCGCTGACGGAACAAGTGCAGTCTGTCTCCTTGAAATTTCCTTGCATCATCACAGAGCCGCTTCATAGAGCTGCGTCAGGCGGCGATCGGCGGCGATCGGCGGCGAGTTCCGAAGCGAAATCGCCCGGATCGCGAGCTCTCGAAGAAGGTCACGTGAGGCCCTTGCGCAACGCCCGCTTCGGGCTTCGCATTTATTCCTGCCCGTGATCCCATTTCCTGACGTAGGCAACCTCGTGCTCTCTTCTTCCTTTTACATAAATGCAACGGAATAGAATCGTCACCGCTTATCAGACGGCATGAATGTTATGACCGTTGCGATCGGTCAACAATACCGGGAACGACCACTTCTCCTCGCCCATATAGACCTCGCTCTCTTCTGCCTCTATGGACCAGGGAATTGCGTCCTTGCTTCTCTCCGACCTCCTCCCCCCCTCCCCCCCTTTCCCCCCCCCCCCTCCCCCCTCCTGTCATTCTTCTGCACGTCTTGGGTTCTAACATTCCAGGATGAACAATCTGACGTGAATCCCTCATATTCTGGGAGAATTTGGACATTCAAATGTTTTCAGTCTTGATTTTGGTCGTAGCGAGTCTGATACTCTCCTCTGTAGTTGGGAATTGATGGCAAGTTCTTGAGTAATTATGAATTTGCTTGAGGCCTCGCACAATGAACAGACTGAGATGAATTCTCTCTCTCTCTTTCTCTCTCTCGTGGGTGGGTGGTGAGTAGATGTCTTGATGACGGTATGTGTGCATGCTAATGCACCTCAGCGATATTTTATTCTCGACTTCTGAGGTATTTTTTTTCTAGGCCCCCTCAATCGTCCATACGTCGTCCATGCCCTTGCCTGTCTGGTGGAAATCCCATAGAGACAATAGAGACTGTTACTGGAATCAGAGTTTTCCACTCTTCTCTTCAGTTCATCACTTGGCGACGATTCAACATCGAATCCACAGATGGATACTCCGTGGACAGCCTCCCTCTCTCTGTAGACAGGGGAATGTACAGGGTGCGCGAGTAGAATTGGCGTGGAAAATACATTAAGGAAAAACATCTCTAAAATGTCTAATTTTTAACATTTATTGAAAATTCCAGAAACAAGAGCAAGGTAGTGCTTTATAGATGGAACTTATTCAATAAAGAGGGGTTGTGTCCCCCCCCCCCCCCCCCCCCCCCCCGCCTCCCATCCCGCCCCTCATGTTCTTGAGTCCCTCTGATGTCGGGTGAGAGGAAGGAACCGGCCAACGGCGAGGGGAGAGGATAAACTCCAAGACGAGATCTGGTCGAGTCGAGAATGGCTTTCGCCAGCGGACGGGCGACGAGATGACGCGGTGGACAGGTCACGATCCCCTTGTCAGGCTGGCAAGCACACTTTCAGAGATTCTCACTCTCTTCTGGGCTGTGACGTTACAGCAAACGTTACTTGCGGCGAGTCTGGGTAGAAGGAAAAACGTATTTTCTTGGTAGCAATTGAAATTCTTTATCGGATCATCCATTCAACAGAGGTGAGCTGATGATCGCTGATCGAACGAGAAAGATGAAACGACTGAGAGCCAAATGGTCGGCCGACGACACCTTAAGCTAAGTACAACAACAAAATCGATCGCACGACTCGAACGGAGTTGCATTGTAGCTGAAAGTCGCCATTGCAACATTGCGAAACTAGCCTACGCTTACTGAGAGGATTTCGTCAAGCGAAGAAACGGAGCCAATTTTGACCAAGCTCAGTCCGCCTTGAAGTGAATGAACCCACACGTATTCTGGTGCCCCATTCGAGCAGGAAACTCAAGTGAACCTACATCAAGCGGACGTCGTCCACATCCACATAGCAATCCTCATGCCATTTTCCAGCCGTCACGAGTGTCGCGCCCCAAAGGGTCATTCTTCCCCTATGGCTACAGATGGAGAATATTTGTTGGAAGAATCGATTCCACGACGTCTTTGAAATTGAAAACAATTTCAGTCTGTAACCCTTTGTCATCAAATCAATTTCCAATTCAAACCACAGATCAGACCGGCAAAGCATAACGGAAAAATATTAAGATAATCCAGGCACACATACGAACAGTTTCCTCCAATCTTTACTCGCTCATTAAAAATCAAGAGTTCCTTCAGGTCAGATCGAAATTGGTCCCATCTATAACCGCTGTATTTCATTTAAAGTTAAATTTCTGGATTTAAATTAATATCTTCCCTCGTGCACTAACGAGCGGAGTAGAAATGCATAACTGTACCAATGGTAGTGCCTGTGTCAATTTACCAATGTTCTGCATGAGAACATTGGTGTTCGAAGTTGTCTGAGTATCCCGTTCCCGATCATGGAGTCAGTGTATACGTGCCTTAAACAATAGGTGAGTTTGGCCCAAAATGATCCCTGGCCCTATATGCTTCACGTGCATTTACAGATCAATCGCGATATGAATTCGTTCCAACGAAAATTTGTGAACGAGGTGAGACGATGCGCCGAGATGGAAAGAAAGCTGCGTTTCCTGGAAACGGAGATGCACAAAGACGGGATCGAAGTTCTGGACTCGGGAGAAAATCCAGATACTCCTCAGCCGAAGGACATGATAGACATGGAGGCTACGTTCGACCGACTGGAGACGGAACTCCTCGAGGTCAATGCCAATGCCGAAGCCTTGAATCAGAACTTTTTGGAACTGACCGAGCTGAAGCAGATCCTTCTCAAGACTCAGGGGTTCTTCAATGAGGTGGGTCTTTGCTGAAAATTTCTGAAAAAATGTGCTGAAAAAATACGGATGTCGCTCACGGCGGTTCTCTTCTGCACAGCATGATGGAAACCTCGAGCCCGGAGAAGCTCTGAAGTCTGAAGTGAAGAAGATGTCGCTGATCCCCCCCGATCTAAGTGCCCAGGAGGATCAGCAAGGACAGCTTGGGTATGAAATTCTCAGTTTCTCTTCTCCGAATTGAGGTGACGGGTAGAGTTGGACCGATATGGAAACCGACCGATAGCTAGTGAATACACTCAAGCAAATGATTGAAACATATGCAGTGTATGGTAAAAGAAGATCAAGGACTTTTGACCTTAATGTCTCCGCTCACAATGGAACCATTTCCGCGAAACTTTCCCTAACCATATGAGTGTGTTTCCAAGTGATTCTCAAAGTTCCATTCGAACTTGTTGAGCTAAAGAAATTCCAACAGCATTTATTAAAAAGAAGTTAGTCATTGAGAATGGACAAATAGAGCTCTTGCCGGTAGTAGAGCTGAAGATACATCAGAACGCTGTCCCTCAAGACCGCGTCGAACTCCTCTCAGGAGCTTATTACTAATGAACAGCAGATGAATCAATGAGCATTAATCCAGAGTTTTTCGAAGTTATTCAAAATTCAGAAGGTGCTGTCCATTTCGAATGCCAGATTTCTCATTGAATATCGTTTCCAACTTTGATTCGAAGTAATGGATTTTGGCGGCCTTGTTGTCTTTCAAATAGACGGAGGCATGTTTCGTCCACAGCACATTTTGTGAGATAAGACTTAAGCAATCAGAAGATACACTTGAAGTTTTTGACCATTTTCGTCATACCTTCCAAACTCAGGTTGATGGAAGTAAGTGAAAAGTCTCTGGATATTGATACTCATTTATTCATCTGCAATTAATTTGGAATTAAAACCACCTGCAAAAGACGACCAACCCAAATAAGGAATTTAAGCGGAAGCGAAGTCCGACCAGGTCTCGATGACGAGGAAGGACAGCGCTGGAGTGCATGCTCCACTCCACTTCCAGCAAGTGATTTCTCCATTCTCAATGTCTAACTTCTGTCAAATAAATGCTGATAGAATTTCTTCCGCTCACAAATTCGGATGGAAATTTGAGAATTACTTGGAAACATACTCATCTAAGTATAGTGAAAGTTTTGCAGAAATGGCTCCATTGCCACCGGAGGCATTAAGGTCAAAAGACATAGGTCTTTTTTTTTTGCCAAACCTTGTACAGGTATATACGCTGACAACGGATATCGAAAGGATTTGATGTCCCGTATTCCCCTCTATATGACGGGGAAAACCCTTACAGGCGGTAGGCCGTCACATTTGATTGAGATCACGGAAAACTGACAGATGTGGAACACAATGCGACTCTCCTTACCTATTTTTTGCTTAACCTAATCTTATAAGAATTACCAAACTCCATTTGTCTAATTTCTTTTGTTCATATGCGATTAGGGTATTTTTTACGTGACTGTAGACGAACTGGTTCCATAGATTTTTGGCAGGAGTGATTTCTCGTGATCGTCTGCCCCCATTTGAGCGCATGCTCTGGAGAGCCTGTCGTGGAAATGTATTCATTCGCACTAATGAGATCGAGACTCCACTCAAGGATCCCATAACTGTAAATCTTGCTTCTTCTTTCGTTCATTGTTGTTTCTTATTGAATGAATTGTTTCTAATATTTTTAAACCTGTAGGGAGACGAAGTACACAAGTGCGTGCTCCTCATATTCTACCAAGGAGAGCAGCTAAAGACCCTTGTACGGAAGATTTGCGAAGGATTCAGGGCCAATCTTTACCCATGCCCTGAAACTGCAAATGAGAGACAGGATATGGCCATGGGGGTCATGGCTCGCATCGAGGACCTCAAAACGGTCTCTCTTTCTCGTACTTCATCCTAATCCTTCACCATATAGGAGAATTTAGCCATCATGTCGATTTAAAACGTTGCATTGCAGGTGTTGAGTCAGACACAGGATCATCGTCATCGAGTCTTGGTGGCAGCATCCAAGAACCTGCATAACTGGTGGATTAAGGTCCGCAAGATCAAGGCCATCTACCACACATTGAATCTATTTAATCTGGATGTCACTAACAAGTGCCTGATCGCTGAGGGATGGATCCCTGCTCCTGAAATGGAGAGCGTTCAACTTGCTCTTCGTCGGGGCACTGTGAGTCTGCACCAATTCACTGCCTAAATTAAAAGCCTCCTTTCTCTGAAAAAAATATTTGAGGCTATGGACTGCAATCGCCTAGCTGTCTCCCTTTTCATATGCTTTTGAGTCGAAGAAAACTTTGATTGCATTCAAGTGGTCATGTGAAATATTAATATTGCCCGGTCAGAGATATGCAAACACGGTAAGTTAACAGAGGCATTTACCTCCCCATATCGTGCTTCCGACCTTCATAAATTAGCAGGAGCTCTAAATCTCCCGAAGGCTTTTCTCCTGACCCTTGAAGACCGACTGCAGATTCAAAAAGTTCTTTGAGTTAAAAAAAAAGTAATAATTGCCTGGGTGTTCCTGGATGGGCTCGGCCAAGCCAAGCAATGACTTTCTTTTCTAAACGAGTTATGTTCAGGTGAACATATTTGTATCAATATTTTTTTTCTCTTCTTTTTTTTTGTGGTAATATTGCAGACCTTTTGGTAGACTTACATTTTCGTAAGATTGTGTGTAATTATTACTTGCAAATGATATCGTTGGTATTGAGGACAGCATTCTCTGCTTCAGATTCCTCTCGTCTCTCCCTGCGCATGATACTTTTATCATGTCCGTTATTAACCTAAAAAATTGTTTCGACAGTCAGAATCACCTTGGATTTGCAGGAAGCTTCGAATGACCTTTTGTCATTTCCTGAATGAGAAGGAAAAAGTTAAATGGAGATTAAGATCCATTACACAGGTTCCAAGTTACTTAAATGAGTATAGGGTTTTACAATTCTTTTTCCCCGCCATTTTCATCCACTTGCTGGTGCAGCTTGAGGAATCGATATTTTCACCTTGGTTGTAGACACAAATAGTTGGCTTAAAATAGGACAGGCGAAATGAACACTTCACTCAGGAGGCATGCATCACAATCAATGGATTCTGTCTTTTCTTTGGAACAGGAGCGGAGTGGGACTTCGGTCCCACCGATTGTCAACCGCATGAGCACGAGGGAGAACCCACCCACCTATAACCGCACGAACAAGTTCACACGGGCCTTTCAGGATCTGGTCGATGCTTACGGTGTAGCTGCGTATCGTGAAGTTAACCCTGGTATTTCGCAAATCCACTTAGGGTAGTCCCATTTTAAGGGAAATCAATGAAATACAGATTTGTGCTGATCTCTTCCAGCTCCATACACCATCATCACTTTTCCATTCCTCTATGCAACAATGTTTGGCGATTTTGGGCATGGAACCATCATGACGCTCTTTGCATTATGGATGGTTTTGAATGAGAAGAAACTGCAGGCTAAGAAGAAATTGAATGAGGTTTGTCAGAAACCGCAATATTTGTTATTATGAATGTTCTAATACCTTTAGTTTACCAATGCAATTTTCTTGAATTCTAGATTTTCTTGACGTTCTTTCATGGCCGATATCTCCTTCTTTGCATGGGGTTATTTGCCATACACAACGGCCACATGTATAATGACTGTTTCGGCAAGCCCCTCAACATCTACGGCTCCTCCTTTCGTGTCAATTACAAGTAGGTCTGCATTCCTCTATTACAGCTACTCCCACAAACTGCATAGTAAACAAAATGAAAGGATTGCAATGCTCTTTGCGCTCAGCCTGAAATCTGTGTCACAATACATAAAAATGGAGTAATGTGAAAACCAATTTTTAAAGGTTTTCTCTTTCTTCCACCCTAACCTCAGCCTCACCCCCATCCCCCCATCCCTTTCCCCACGGAACTCACTAGCGTTATGCCTAGGCCTAACCGACTGACTGTCTTCGGGTTAGGCCTAGGCCTAACTTTTTTCGTTCAATAGAAACTCAATCTTCGACATACGGACCAATTAGGCCAATAAGGATTAATCCCCGTTCTTCAGACGCCTCATCGAAGACGTGTAACGTTAGGCCACTTGCAGGCCTATTCAGTCTCTCATGGCCCATTTAACAGAGAACGTGTAACGTTAGGCCAATTGTAGGTCTTTTTCGTGTTTCATGAACTACTTCAGTGGTAATGGGGAACATTAGGCCTATCCAGAACTCCTCAAACCGTCTCGACTCGTTCTGAGAAGAATATGCTTTTTGAAAGCATGACATACAAGCTGGCCGCCATCATGTCAACTTCGGGATGTTCGGATGAGATATCTCCGTATTACACTAAATCGATCGGCTACTGCCAACCACCGTTTCAATCTCAGCTCATCACATGAATTCGGCACAATAATGTCTCTAACACTTTAAAGAGAAGATCCAGACAAGATACTAAGGCCGAAAAAGTCATGAATCTGGCATAACTAAGGCACGATATCCGGCAACACTGGAGGACGGGACGGGAGCCATCGTGCTAAGCCTAAACTAATGGCTTATAATTTCAATTTTTTATGGCGAAATTGTGCACTGAAATGGTGGAATGAAATTCACATATTCCAAAAACGAGATTCAGTGATCTCCACAACCAACCCAGCCAAGGCCGGTCCCAAGCCCGGGTAAATGGGGAGGGTTGCGGTAGGAAGGGCATCCGGCGTAAAACATTGCTCCAATCAACTATGAAAGCAGACAACAATGGAAGTAGAGTGACAGCTAGGGCGTCCCCCGCAAGCGACGCGCGAGAAGACCGCCGTAATCTCGTGACAA